TCTCCTTTTATCTTTCTGTTGTTTTCTAGCATGTAACCATTATGACAGACTTGAAACCCAGCACCAGACCCACCCCACCCGCCATGGTGAAAGCTAGTGTTGGCCAGAGTCCTGGATCCTTCCTGTCAGAACAAAACCATTATGGTTCCTACTTTTGAGGGTTTAAAATGATTTTCATGATTCATTTTCTGGTCAATTTTCATTCGTATGCCATGCACTTTTCAAAAGACTGCATGCTCTGTTGTTGCCGGGCAATGCATTAGACATAGTTGACACAGTTTTTCAGTAACTGCACTAGTTTTCTATGTCTTTTATAAGAGTTACTACAGGCTTGTTGATTAAAAACAACACACATTTATCACTTGACATACGGAAGTTTAAAGTCAAAGGAACTTCTGTCATCATGCCTCTTCTGTAAGAGTTTTATAAGAATTGCTATAACCCTGGAGAATCCAACCACCAAGTAAGTAGAGACTGGAAGACCTCTAGGGTTCACTGGCCAGTCTGTATTAATTACTTTTTTTTTTTTTTTGGTTTGGTTTTTCGAGACAGGGTTTCTCTGTGTGTCTCTGGCTGTCCTGGAACTCACTCTGTAGAGCAGGCTGGCCTCGAACTCAGAAATCCGCCTGTCTCTACCTCCCAAGTGCTGGGATTAAAGGCATGCGCCACCACCACCCGGCTATTAATTACTTTTCTATTACTGTGATAAAACAACATCACCAAAACCAACTCATGGAAGAGTTTATTTCAGCTCACGGTCTCAGAGTGATCAGACGCTATCATGGCAGAGAGGCCCGGCGACAATTGGTAGACAAAGCAGCAGGAGCAGAAAGCAGGGCGCTCACATCTTCAAACACAAGCAGGAATCAGGGAGAGAAAGAGAAATAATATAAAGAGGGGGAGGAGAGAGCACTGGAACGGCACAAGGCCTTTAGTTTCAAAGTTCTGCGCCTGATATACTTCCCCTTGCAAGATCTCTCCCCCTAAGCCTCCCCAACAGTACCACTAACTAGGACCTAAATGCTCAAATACTTGAAACAGGATGGAGGTGAGGGCATTTGTCATGGAAACCATTGCATAATGAAATCAAGTTGATGAGCTCCAGGCAAAGGAGAGACCCTGTTTCTCCAAAGAAGATGGCTAGAACTCCAGAAAAAAATGATGCCTCCACATGCACACATGCGCAGACATAAACAAAATGAAGACTGAAACAGGTCTCACTAGGTAAATAACAGGGCTATATTCCAACTGTTCTCGGAAGAGCGTCTTCATTTCATACTTTCCAGCTTCGAGAGGCCACCTATGTTCCTTGGTTCATGAATATGAAGGTCCATAGGATATGTGTTTCTGCCAACTACAGTGGTGTTTTTCAGTTCTTCTGTGTGTATGCCAATAGCCTATCTAATAGTCCTACCAGTTGCTGCAGTTGTTAAAGAGCCCAAGAACTGTGGATTTGTTTATTCCTCCTTTAGGTTTGTCAGTTTTTGCTTTGAGTGTTTCGATCTTCAGTGCCCTTTGTGGATCACTGTGTCAGCTTGGTATATTGAACCTTTTGTCTTTATGCAACGTACGTCTTCATCCCTGGTAATATTTGAATATACACCCTGAAGCTTACTTTATCTGATTTTAATATAGCTACTTGTGCTTTGTTTGATCAGTGACTAGGTGGCATACAATTGCCTTCCTTTTGCTTTCCGCCTTCCAATATCAGTATATTGGAAGTGGGTTTTTGTAGAGAGCCATGTTAGTTTACCCACTCTGCTAGCTTCAGTCTTTTAATAGATGCACCTACATTTACATTTAATAAAAAACTGATACACTGGGGCTGAACTCTTCATTAAATTGTGTACTTTCTTTCGGTTTTGGTCTCTTTTTTATTAAGGCAAAACTCATATCATTTTAAATGAAATATCTCAAAGTATACATTTCAATAACATTTTGTACATTCACACTGTTCAACGACATCTATGTGTCATTCCCCCAAATCAGTAAGGGAAAGAACCATGTTCCCACTAAGCAAACGTTCTCTATACCCTGCTCTTCCAAGCCCTTTCTCTGCCACTGATCCACACAAACCTATTTTCTTCCTCTGTGAATTTGCCTATTTGAAGTATTTCATAGAAATGAAATGACACAATTTATGAGCATTTGAGACTAGTGCCTCTTGATGACTATACTGTTTTCAAGGTTCATTGGCAGTCTATGTTAATAATTCACCGCTTTTTAAAAATCTTTTTTGGTCTTTCAAGATTGGATTTACTCTGTGTAGTCCTGGCTGTCCTAGATTTCTCTGTAGTCCAGGCTAGCTTCAAAGTCACAGAGATCCACCTGCCTCTGCATCTTGAGTGCTAAGATTAAAGGTGTGCACCACCACTGCCAAGCTCTCTTTATGTTTTTATTGTCTATCTGTGAGCATTTTTCATGCACATATACAAATACATATACAAACATATGTGTGCCTAGTACTCACAGATGTCAGGAGACAGTGTCACATCCCCTGGAACTAGAGTTACAGAGTGTGCGAACCAACATGGAGGTGCTGGGAACTGAACCTAGGTCCTCTGAAAGAGTAGCAAGTACTCTAACCAGTGAGCAATCTCTCTAGTCCCAATTTAAATATTCAAATAAATACAATAAACATTGATAGAAAGTAAATGTGAACACCAAATAATTCTTACATTGAATGTTTTAAGTTTAATCAATGTCACAAAACTCTATCTGTCTCTTTTCCTGGTGCTGGTGAAGGAACCTAGTACCTGGTTCATGCCATCTAAATGTTCTATCAATCTACTTGTAAGACAGAAGAACCTAATTAACCTGTCACACTGTACTACCACTTCTCAATACTATCTACCACTCTCTTGTCTCAGTCTTTTTCAATATTTTGAGCCAAAAGAATGCTTTTTAATTAGAAAACAATTAAATGTTTTATATATATATATATATATGTGTGTGTGTGTGTGTGTGTGTGTGTGTGTGTGTGTGTGTGTAGTGTATACATGGGTTACAAGGTAATGTCTTGATATTTATTATTTTATCATGGAATATACTTATCAAGCTATTTAATACATTTCTCAACACAAGAAAGTTTTTTATGTAGTAAGAACATTTAGTACATTTTCTTAGGTCAACTTTAAAAATATAATTTTGTTTTCTTTTTTTAAATTTATTTTTTATTGGATATCTTATTTATTTACAATACAGATATCATCGCCTTTCTCCATTTCCCCTCCCTAGAACCCCCTATCCTATCCCCCCTCCTCCTTTATGCTTTTATACCATTTTGATTACATGCATGTATTAAGGTCAGTTCTAAGTTGAGGGTCTAGCAATACAATAGATGCGAATAGTCAAGGAACAATTATCTTTAAGTATGATTTGTATGCTGCTCAATATTTGGTAAAAACTGAGAACGATGGCCCTGGGGGTGTAGCTCTATTAGAGTGGTTGCCTAGCGTGCACAAAGCCCTGAGTTAACTCATTGGTACTGCATAAATTGGATATAATGGCACTTAGGAAGTAGAAGCACGAGGAACAAAGCTTGAAGATCTGTAGGCATACTTTTTGGGGCTACTTTAATTGGGTTCTATTATCTACCACCCTTTAAACCCTTATTCCAACCCAGTCCCTTTCAACTCTTGTAGGAAGGAAAGAAAGGTTAACATTAGTTGGGAAAGGGGATGTAGGCTTTAGACTACTTCCTGCTGATTAAGGGCATTAAGTTCCTTGGGGCACGTCCAATCTCCGTTGTCAGGATGTACCCAACAAGAAATCCAACAACCCAGCAACACAGCAACCCAGCAATTCAGCAATCCAGCAATCCAGCAATAGCAAGCACAACAGCAGGGACCATCAGCAGGAGCAACAGCTGCCACAGGCCCTCTCAGGGCTCTCACATTCATATCCTCTCAAGAGTCCCCAGAATTCCAAAGATAAACCATTGGCAGCTGGTAAAAATCACACCCCTCCTAGAGCACGAGAAAAATCATAACATAGTTAGCAGTCCCATTTCCCACACGTGGGGTTAAAACAAAAACATCTTCTCAAAACATAACTAGATTTTTAAAGAGACCAAAAGTCTCACTACACAGACCAATCTTTGGTTCAGGTTCAATCTGGGCTAAAAGGCCCTTATCTGAGACACACACAGCATCAGCACCAGCACCAGCACCAGCACCAGCACCAGCACCAGCACCAGCACCAGCACCAGCACCAGCA